GGCTCTACACTAATACCTTGTAATGCTCTATGATATCTTCTTATAATGTATTTTTTATGATATCTAAAAATTAGTTACTTATCTAGAGAACTTCTGGAATATTTCAAAGACTTCATGTACAATTCTGAGTTTGAACAGTCTCTTTCAGTACAGGAAGCATACCTTATACTCTCTGATATATTTTGTATCATTCTGCATAATTTGAAGTATTAGAGTTGGCCACGGACGAGTATTTTAAATTTACCATGTGTCTTTAGAGACTTCTCGTTTCAGTGATTATTCCCGACCCCACACAGACAGGCCTCCTGCAAGAAGGAATGTAAAGATAATCATTCTGTAATTATGCTGCACTATGACTTGCCCATGGTTGGCACTCATAAAGGTTTGTTGTATGAATAAACTAATGTAGTAAGTTACTAGTACTTTTGAGAAAATAATTTAACGTTTCCCTTTTAAGGAATTTTCATTTTAAATGACAATAAGAATATTACCAAACAAATGTGTTTCAATGGGAGAATTGTAGTTAATGCAGCACCTGGATGGGAGAAGAATTTTAGAGAGTTATTTGTGGAGGCCTCTGAATTTCCTGGTTCTATAAATACTGGTAGAGTAGAATGTTTCACAATTTTAAAATCACATATATTTTTCCTTTTTGGTCTACATACATCATTAAAAATGATGTTAGAAGTATAACAGTGGCCAACTGAGTATTTGGGATGTCTTTTGATTAATTAGGCCTAAAACTGTATTTCTCTTTACTTAAAAATGCCACAGATATGGATTTTATTTGAAGAGAAAAGCTTATGTCAGGCAGGAAAAGAGAATATTGGAAATAAAACTATACATCCCATAGAACATTCTTTTGTATATAGATCCTGGCCTGTGCCAACTCTATGGATACAGAAGCACATAAAAGGAAGTCATAGTTTCCTCTGGTTTCAAGGTAGCAGATTCAGAGAATTCAAATGCCTATATCCGAAGAAGTAGGTCTAATGAATAATATTAATACAATATTCCTGCCATTTGTGACAGCGTGGATTGAGCTTGAGTGTATTATGCTAGATGAAATAAGTCAGACAGAGAAACGCAAATACCATATGATATCACTTATATGCGGAATCTGTTATTTAAGTACATTTCCTTGTTATTTAAGAATACACACACAGACACACACAAAGATTGTACAAATCAATTCACTATTTAGTCAGTCATTAGAGAATTAAACTAGGCTTTAACTTCTTTTTCTTTTTTTTTTTTTTTTACTTTAAACATCACATTGACCGGGGATTTTATTTAGTGTAATTCCCACTGAAACTAGCATTTAATTTAATTGATTAATTGATGATACAAATTGTCACTAAAAGAGTATCTCTTTTAGGAGAGGAAATGCATGACAATGTGTGTGTGTGTGTGTATTTATGAATAGCTACCATTATATGTGCAAACAAAGAGATGGGCACTTTTCATAGGCTAATTTTTAAATATTTCTGTAGAGTATTAGCATTCTCCAAAATTATACTTCACAGGACAATAATGCCACATATACAGTCCATGCCCTCTTTATCCAATAGGACGACTGCTTGAAACAAGAGATATTTCTTGGCATATAATAATGTAGTGTCATTAAACAGTACGGTAATAATGTACGCCATTAAACAAAACTGATAGTATTTTATTTCTATAAAGTCCTTTTGAAAAAACTAAAGATGAAGCTTAAAATGTAATTAATGTCAAATGAAGATTTTATCTAAAAATACTGCTTGGTTTATTAAGTTAGAGGTCAAGTTGAATGTAATATCTGGAGGAACCTGACCCTTGAGGGGTCATGAACTAATCAGTACCTTCTGCCAGCAGACAAGGCATAATTTATCTCTCTCTTAACAAACTTACTAACAGGAGAAGTGGGAAACAAACAAACAAACTGGGAACACAGGCCATAGAAGCACACAAATAACATAAACTATCTTTAGATATGTAGATACACATGCAGTACATCTCTAGGAAGGTGAGAAATCCGAAAGATTCTAAGGACTGTCACTAAAATTTGTAACAACTTCAAACAGTTTGATATGGATGGGAAACTATTTCAAGGAAAGACGTTCTGCATGAATTTTAAAGAAAAAGGCCTTTACTACGTTCTAGCATTAAGAGACCCGTGTACAATAATGAAAGGCCAAACATTCTTGAGGAAGGGAAAGGTATTTGGCACATAGATGATGAGGCAAAACTCTATGAGAAAGACAAGAGTTTTAGGAAGGACTGAAGTTTGGTATAATGACATGTCATTGAAAATTACTGTATCCATGAGACTCAAAGGAACGAACTTCCCACATTGCCATAATACAACCAAGATTATTTTCCTGGAGAGATGATTTGCTTCTAGTCATAAGTGGACTCTTGCTAAAGGTTTCTTAGTAAAATCAGAAACCCAATCCTGGACTCATGCTAAATTTTTCTTCATAAAATCAGAAACTTTATCCTAACCTAAGATCAGAAACATTTCTCTAGTATATAATTTAGTTTATAATATTCCAACTTCTATTTTTGGAAGCTAGTAAAAAATAGGAGGAAAAGAAAGCAAAAATAATTACAATGATTTTTATGCCTTCATTAAGATAATTAGCCTCGGTTTTTGTACTCGTTGGTAACTCCATAATACAGTTACAAACTTAAAGAGCTGGTCATTATTTTGTTCTTGTTAAATAAGTTTTTAAAACAATCATAGCTTAGAAAAGTATAAATAACCTCTTGAAGTTCTATTCCTCAAAACACCCTGCCATTTGCAAATGCTCAAACACCAGAGAGCTACTTGCAACAGGTAGATAATAAAGTTCTGGAGATATAATGTACAACATTAGATTATGGTGAGCAATACTTATTATAGACTTCAAAGTTGCTAAAATACTAGATGTTAATTGTTCTCACTAAAAGAAAGGAGTCATAATTATGTGAACTGACAGAAATGTTAAAGACTACAGTCTTAATTTCAGAGTCAGAAGTGGAGCTGAACCTAACGTTATCTAGATCCCAGGGCTGAAGCTTAGAGGTACGTAAGAACAAGGAGTCACAGTCACATGGAGATCTGTATTAATCAAAGGTGAAACTTGCCTTCTTTACATTGCAACAATTTCCACTTCCCCTGTGAAATCTTTCCTTCTTTATTTTTCCTGACCTCTGATTTTGAGTCTCTCCGGGAATTCTAGAAGCCTTGGTTGATCTTCACAACCATACTTCACACGGACTTCAATGATTGGAGCTCATTACCTCCACTTTCATTGTCATTCCCTTATTAAATATTTTTACCTCCTCTGGACACAATTTTGTTTGTATATATACATGTTGAACAAGTTGTTCCTCACCCCCAAGTCCAATCAATTTAAGAGTTCTGGTTTTTAAAGGCTCAGCTGATGTACAATAAATCTCGGACCTTGCATCCAATTGAGAAAAGGTAAGATAATAAAGTAAAACGTTAGTGGCTATATTCATTATTATGAAATGTATTCACCTGATAGTGTTCTACTATAATTTTTCATGGCTATAATTATTTTATGAAAAAAATTGTTGCCTATGTACGATTAACATTTATATATTTGATTATATTTATTTTTAAGACTATATTTCAAAAAAGTTCTTTCCAGATCTTCACTTTCACAGGCTGAATTCCAGCATAACCTCAAGACTTCAGGTTGTCAACATGACAAACTAGTATACTTTCCTATCTATCTTTACACATACATTCATACTTCACTCATTCAACAAATTTTTCTGAAGACTAAAACAAGTCCAAAAATATGTTCAGATGCATGAATTGGAAATTAAAAACTAGTATCTATGATGTCATCACAATCCTATTTCTATTGCTGTATTTCTTCTAGTTAATCTAAAGTCAATCAAACACATGAGTCATCAAACATCTGCTGACCATCAATGAAAAACAGGTATGTTTAATTATGTGAGAAACTTAAAAACTAAATGATACTAACATACACAAATACCGCATATGAAGAGTAACAAAGGCAATTTGGTACAAGATATCAAATGTGAACTTGTTTATATACTTTTTAAAAACTTGTTTTATAAACTTGTTATATTTTTAGAATCTGCTAAATAATTATCATTAAAAGGGTAAAATTACTTATATCTATTACATCATTACATAGAAATGTTAATAATCTTCATGAACAAATTAATATAATTTATTGTATATAAAAGGATTATAAATATAATCAATTAAGTGGATTAAATGAATTAATCCATTCACTAATATAAACATTAACTATTAATTATATTAGTGAATGAGTTGATATTAAATTAATGATATAAATAAAAACTATTAATAAAAGTCATTTTCCCATATATTAAATCTAATAAAATTGTCATTTGAAAAAAAATAAAAAGGCTGGTGTGGGTCTTATTGCATCCCTTATAGAGGGACGTAAGAATGAGAAGTCAGTCACATGTAGATCCTGTATTAACCAAAGGTGAAACTTGCCTTCTTTACATTGCAACAATTTCCACTTCCCCTGTGAAATCTTTCCTTCTTTATTTTTCTTGACCTCTGATTTTTAGTCTCTTCAGGAATTCTAGAAGCCTTGGTTGATCTTCACAATCATACTTCACACCAACTTCAATGATTGGAACTCATTACCTCCACTTTCATTGTCATTCCCTTATTAAATATTTTTACCTCCTTTGGACACAATTTTGTTTGTATAACTACATGTTGAAAGAGTTGTTCCCCACCCCTAAGTCCAATCAATTCAATAAGAGTTCAGGTTTTTAAGATTATCTTATCTTTCAATAATAAAATATTTTTAATTTTATATCCCAGGATAAACATAAATTTGGATACTACACAGAAAAACATATCATAAATATTTTTTGAGCTTTCAATAATCCCTAACATTAATATTAGACTTAACGTATTTCTAACAGCTTTATACACCTCAGTAAAACATCTTTGAAGAAATTATAATCTTTAGGAACAGAAGAAAGCTCACCTTATTACAAAATTGTGACTGTCAATCTCCTTTCCACATTCACTATCGAGTAGAATGCCAGAATTTCCAACAACTGCACAGGTCTTAAATCTGCGATTTTTCATTGGTGAAACTTCAGGTAGGAGGCTGTGAAGATCCTGAGAAATATTTAGTGTCCGGCGCCTGTCTAGCACATAGTGTATGACATCACCAGGCTTAAAACTGCTCTTGACCACTGAGACATCTCTTTCCGCATCTAGGAAACGAAGAATGTTCTTCCTGTATTGAAATACAAAGTTTACCATTAATGAATATATCTAAGAACTGGAGATATCACATACAAAGGGATATAAGACAAAATATAAATTGGTACATTACTAATTTTAAATTGTCAGGTGGTAATCAAACCAACCAACTAAGTAGATTCTATTGACATTGAATTTGTTCTTAAAAAAATCACTTGCGTATAGCTTCTCAATGATTTGGTAAATAAGTATAGTATGCACATCTATTTATAGAGTGAAAGAAGATACAGACAATTTAGGTTATCCTGATGCAGCCACTGTGGAAAAGAGTATTAGGATTCCTTAAAAAGTTAAAAATAGAACTACTCTACAACCCAGCAATTATACTGCTAGGTATTTACCCAAAGGATACAAAAATACTGATTCGAAGGGGTACATACACCCCAAAGTTTATAGTAGCACTGTCAGCAGTAGTCAAAGCATGGGAAGAACCCAAAAGTCCATCAACTGATGAATGAATAAAGAAAATGTGATATACACACACATGTACACACACACACACACACACACATATATATATATAATGGAATATTACTCAGTCATCAAAAAGAATAGAACCTTGCCTTTTGCAACAATGTGGATGGAGCTAGAGTATATTATGCTAAGCAAAGTCAGTGAAGAACAAATACCATACGATTTCACTCATATGTGGAATTTAATAAACGAAACAAATGAATGTAGGGGAAGGGGGAAAAAAAGAGGGAAGCAAACCCAAAAGAGACTCAACTGAAGAGAACAAATTGAGAGTTCCTGGAGGGGAGGTGTGCAGGGGGGAATGAGCTAAGTGGGTGATGGGTATTAAGGAGAGCACTTGTTGGGATGAGCACTGGGTGTTATATATAAGTGATGAATCCCTAAATTCTACTCCTGAAACCAATATTACACTATATGTTAACTAACTAGAATTTAAATAAAAACTTGAAGAAAAAAATAAGAAAAATTAGTTTATTAAATAATATGAAAATGCCATGGCTTGACTTTGCATAACTAGATATTCTTTAGCTCTAATTAGTTCTCTATAGTCATTTTGTTTGGTTTAATTTCATCTAGTTAAGGTAAACAGAAATAACTTAAAATGGATTGGAATTATACCTTACTTAACTATATTAAAATGATAATATAGAAGTTCCCAATGAATTTGTATGCACTCATCCAAATTCTGTGTATATTATAATTCTTTGAGGAAGAGTTAAAAGTACACCATATGAAAGTTTCCTTTGAAGCTCAAGAATCCAGGAAGAAAAATGGGTATGTTAGAGGAAAAAATAGATAGGACACACTGTATAGCAGAGATAGTTAATTATTCCTTAGTGTTCTTTCTTCCCATCTTCCTTTTAGTATTTGAATCTTCTAAGTTTTACTCAGGCACATGAATCCTCAGCTAGAAAATCTCCAAGTTTACAAACTTAAGTGCAGCTGTGCTTGATCATGTGATATGAGTGGATCATGTGCATGGTTATACAAGAGAGAAATAAACTTCCAACTACTTTGATCCACTGTATTTTAAGGTATTAATCATTTTTTTATATAGAAGCTTAGCCTATCTCATACATAATAACAGATGTGGGATGCTGTATAAACAAGTATGTATATGCTAAGTTAGATGATGAAAAGTGAAAATAAAGATCCAGCTGGCTGGAAAGCTAGCAACCTTGGCATGATACAGCCAAGCACCTGATGAAACTGCAATAATTTGGGACTCATAGCCTATATCTAATAAGCCTGTTGCTCTTGGAGCAGTTAAAAAGTATTTGTAGGGGGCAGCACGGGTGGCTCAGCGGTTTAGCACCACCTTCAGCCCAGAGCGTGATCCTAGAGACCAGGGATCGAGTCCCATGTCAGGCTCCCTGCATTGAACCTGCTTCTCCCTCTGCCTGTGTCTCTGCCTCTCTCTCTGTGTGTCTCATGAATAAATAAATAAAATCTTTCTTAAAGTGTTTGTATGTTGTTTTATGTCAGTTGCAAAGCACTAAAAGAGGCAACGCCAGGCATGAAATAGTCGAATTGCAAGCTGAGAAGGACAGGAATACCTCTGGCAATGGCCTATATGGAAACTGTATGAAAGTCTGGCAGTTGGGACCTCCAAAATGTTTCTAATATCTGAATTAGCAAGAAATACAATTCTAAGTCAGAGCCCTCCCAAAAGGAAGAGTCATTGCTTTCCCATGTAAGTTTATAGATTCAAATTACTTAGAAGGGAAATTAAGGGAAAGGGGGGTTAGGCTAGAATAGAGGAGAGTCAGAGGCTGAAGAACTGCTCAGAGGAAATCTTTGGCTGCAGTTATTTTATATCAGAATTAACTACAAGGAAACGGCCCAGGAGCCTGTCAGTTTTTTGAGGGATTTATATAGTCAAAGAAATTATGAGCCTGGGACGCCTGGGTGGTTCAGCAATTGAGCGTCTGCCTTTGGCTCAGGGCATGATCCCGGGGTCTTGGGATCGAGTCCCGCATCGGGCTCCCCGCATGGAGCCTGCTTCTGCCTCTGCCTCTGTCTCTGCCTCTCTATGTGTCTCTCATGAATAAAGAAATAAAATCTTTAAAAAAAAAAAGAAGGAAAATCAGTTGACTGAAAAGTTTCGCCAGGTTTGATACACAAAGGTTATGTCCATTAACTCTCTGGAAAAGAAAATAGTTTTTGAATTTTTTCCTTCAATCAGAATATCAGGGTCATAAGTGAAATTTATATAGGAAAACCTATATAAATGCCCTACAAATGAAATCTAAAAATTAACAGAAATGCTATCAGGCACCATAACAGTTCATCTTAACAAAGTACAGATAATATATGAAGACAATTGCCAGTGACATCAGCAATTATCAGGTATGAATTGCAGAAAATTGAGAAGTCTTTCCTTATGTCGAGCACACATAATTCTTCACAAAAGTTAATTAGTACCAAGAACAGCAATCCATAGAACCTTTTGTATAGACTTATTAACTACCATTTGTTTGGGGAAAAATTTAGTGATGCCTGACATCTGTATTTCAAAAAAAAAATTCTCATTTCCTGTGAAAATGACAAGACTGATTTTAAAATAAAAACTGCACGGATGTGGTCAAAATGCCAAAGTAGCTGGTATTGTCATTTTCCTTTGAACACAGTTAAAGGCGTTGTTGTAGATCTCTGAAGATGTACCTCACAAGTAGTGAAATGTTTGCCAGGATGAAATGAATAAACCAGAGATCCAGATTTGAAAGAAGACTCTTTAACTTGGAAATCTAAAAGCGAAAATCCCTTTATTCACGAAAAATGTTAACTCTTAACGTGCTGGTCAAGTGACAGCACAAGGGACTTTCCACTAACGGCACCTCTGCTGTGTTATAGAAACTTAGCAGCAAAATATTTCAGACATAGGTCTTTTACATTCCTGAGTATAACAGAACGTCCTTAATTTGTTGACTCGTAGGAAAAATTGACATTAAAAAAAATGGACAGAGGCTAGCGAAATTTCAGGGGCACCTCTGTGGTTCAGTCCATTAAGCACCTGCTTCAGCTCAGGTCATGACCACAGGGTCCTGGAATGGAGCCCTGCGTTGGGCTCCCTGCTTCTCCCTCTCCCTCTTCCCCTGCCCCTGCTCTACTGTGCTCTTCTCTCTCAAATAAATAAAATATTAAGAAAAAGAGTTCAGTAAAATTTCAAACGGTATCATGTTGTCTAGCTCTTGAGATAAAAGACATGATTATTGAACACAGGTAATTCTACAATATGTGTTCTTTCAATACTGTTTTATAGGCTCAACAATTTTTTATCCTGTTAGAGTAGTAGTTGCTTTTTTTAAAAAAGATTTTATTTATTTATTCATGAGACACACACAGAGAGAGGCAGAGACACAGGCAGAGGGAGAAACAGGCTCCATGCAGGGAGCCCCATGTGGGACTCAATCGCCCCACCAGGATCACGCCCTGGGCCGAAGGCAGACACCCAACTGCTGAGCCACCCAGGCGTGCCAGCAATATTTACTTTTTTTTAAATTTTTATTTATTTATGATAGTCACAGAGAGAGAGAGAGAGAGAGAGGAGAGAGAGAGAGGCAGAGACACAGGCAGAGGGAGAAGCAGGCTCCATGCACCGGGAGCCCGATGTGGGACTCGATCCCGGGTCTCCAGGATCGCGCCCCGGGCCAAAGGCAGGCGCCAAACCGCTGTGCTACCCAGGGAGCCTCACTTTTTTTTTTTTTTTTTAACTGAAAGAAGGAGGAAAGGAAACTTTAAGTGTCTCTGGTATGTTCTTTTTCTTACATTGAATTAAACTTTTAGTTTCCATCTTAGGGCTTACATGAGAAATAATCTGATCTAAGATTCCTGGTGTAGAATTCAAGAAACACTGAAAATAATTACTATTAGTGAACAATATTGTGGCTTTAATGCATAATATTTTATTTTTTGGAAACAGTAGGGAAAGGTTAGGGTTTTTTTTCTCCCTAGCAAGCTATAGGCATTTTCTATTTTTTTTTTTTAAAGATTCTTAGTTATTTGAGAGAGAGATAGAGAGATAGAGAGAGAGAATGCACATAAGTGTGGAGGGGGACATAGAAGGAGAGGGACAAGCAGACTTCTTTGCTGGGCGCAGAGCCCATTGCAGGGCTCGATCCAAGGGGCTCCAGGATCATGACCCGAACCGAAGGCGGACACTTAACCAACTGAGCCACCCAGGCGCCTCCAGGCATTTTTTAGATTATAGATATAATGGACTATAAGAGTTCTGTGACTTTGCTTAGTTGTTATTCAGACTGTAAATATATGGGAAAAAAAAGGAAACCAGTGCTTAAATATGATTAACTAAATGTCACTGGAAGCATGAAAAACTCTTACACTGAACTGAACCACATTTTCAGTATCACCAAGGAGAACTACATGCTTTTGCTCAGATAACTGACATAAATGAAAAGAGCAGGTTAAGCAAAATTATTTGAGAATGGAGAGTTAGAGGGGAAATTCAGTTTAACTTCTGGCCTCTAAAGGAACATGATT